AAGTACCTGTAATTAAATTTTGAGTATGCTAAATTTACGGGACTGTGAGGAGTTTGCAATATATGATACTGTATCTCGCTAATATACGTAACTTATGAGGTGTTTTGAGTATCCGGCCCCCTGTCTGTGTGACAGGCGCTGGACCGAGCTGCTGAACTGACTTGTTCAGTACGTGTCCGTTAGGGTGACAATAGTGCATAGGGGTGAATTTCTAAAATTGATTAAATGGAATGGCCATTGGTCCAATACTGCGTACCCATGAAAAAATAACACAGGCGAAATCCTGGGTCATTTGGACAATATTTAGAGGTAGCTCAAGTCAATTGAAGTTTTATCCTTTTGGCAAAAAATACGAATATTCATAATATGCCGGTTTATTTTAAAATTTACATATTGAGCAAGTTTATGTGTACACTGTACATATAAATGATTAATTCCTTTTTAAAATGAAACTGCAGTGAACACGCTTACATCAATGGGTGGGAGAGGTGTGGACAACCCATTCATTGTTTTCGCTTTTTGCTTGTAAGGTCCTGTTTTGATGTCCCTGGTTGTGACCGCCTCTGCTCTTCAACAACCTGCAGCAGATGTTGACGCTGGTCTTCACTCTTCGTGATCTTGCTGTTGAATGCCTGTATCAAGGCAATCCCTCTCTCTGCAGTGTCGTTGATGACTCTGAGACCACTCACAACTGCGACGCCAGTTTTGAAGTCTTCATCATCAGACCATGTGTCAGATTCCTTGGACAAAAAAGAAGTCTTCATTTTGAGACTTTCAAATAGAAAGTTTGATCCTCTAGAAGCAAAGTCTGAGAGCTGCTTTGTGGGAAGGGAAGATGTGGCAGGAAGAGCAGCACGTTTTGGTGAATCCTCGGTCGCCTTCCTCTCAACGATTGCCCGAACTATGTTTGTCTTCATTGTTGCATTAACTTGTGGATCGAAGAGTGCAAGACCCACCAAGCCTTCACTGAGGTACCACAGGTGACGACCGAAGACTGTGAGACATGTTCTTGATATTTTGACGTCGTGGTACTCTGACAGGTCTTGGAGGAGCCGCAAATCATTAGCAGGAGCGGAGGATGGAACGGAGGCCGTGAACCATGCACTGACATACACCTCTAGCACAAAGAATGTGAATCGTTTCAAGCCTAATGTCTCACGAGCAGTTAGTTTAAACTGATTAGCAAAAATCAGGATCTTCATGACATAAATGAGCTTAGCCATCCACCGTGCTCGGTGAAGTGCTCCGGGCCGTCGGAGATTAAACTTGGGTAGAGCTCCATCGAGACACCTGATTGCTAGCTCCAGTACCTCACGGTAATCATCACGTGGCTGCTGCTTCTTGCCCAGATGATGTTTCCAGCAACAGATGAGGTCATCTCGTTTCTCGTACAAACTTGGAGGGAGGTCTGAGAGAGGGCTGTAGTCATCTTGACTGATGTCCTTCCACTTATGCTTGAAGCGAGAGAAGAGAGTATTATCTGGTCCAGAGGAAGGCCCCATGCATTCCACATACGCTTTCTCGGCAACAAGCTCAAGGATGTGGTGACGACACGCGAGATGCAGAAGACGGCGGCCGAGTTTCTGCTCCAGAATGACACATGCCCCCGACAAGTGCCCAGTGTTTGAAGCTGTTGTGTCAAAACTGAGTGCTGAAACATTCTCTGATATTTTCCACTCTTCCAACGCTGCACTGACTGCTGTAGCAATGGCCTGTCCAGTCCCTGACAATAGTTTCGGGACACCAAGCAGCTTTTCAGTATTGATTCCGGAGACAAGAATGGCGATTCGGTCAACACAACCTCTTCCCCCTACCCCGACTGACACCCGCCTCTCCCTCCCCTCTACATTGCCAATAGCTGCACCAGCCAAAATACTCATTACTCATTTTTAGAAAAAATGTTAGGAACAACTTTAGTTTGAATTTGCATTCTACATATACCTGCAAAGTTTCATAGTAATCGGTTCATAAATAAAGAAATTAGAAAAAATCAATAATAATTTCAGTAGTGTTAACTTCAAATGGCTTGAGCCACCTCTAAATATTGTCCAAATGACCCAGGATTTCGCCTGTGTTCTTTTTTCATGGGTACGCAGTATTGGACAAATGGCCATCTAAAAATAAAAACTTTCACTTTTTATTGTCACCCTAGTGTCCGTGTGTCATCCCTTTGCAAGTGGTGATAGGACCGAATGATCTCAGTCTGGCCTGGTATACCATCACGAAAACAGTGGAGTGTATTGTCTCTGAACCATATATTGTGTTTGAGCTTGACTCAAGCATAATATACTCCGTAATTGGTGTTACTTATTTTGTTTCATAATTCACGTGGTCGCTGCTTTATGTGGGTGAAATATTTGAACACTTCCTTTATTAATTATTTCCTTATTTATTGGTGCCATTGTTGTTCATACTCATTCTTTACTTATATAATCCTACCATTTTTAGTGCTAAATTGGTATGACTCACTATTCTCATTCTTCCAAGTTGGGCAGTGCTTGTCAAAGGAGGAGTGTTCTTGCTTACAGGAAGTACACTTCAGCTTGCTAGCTTGAGTGAATGTTTACCTGTGTGCATGTTTGTGTATGACTATGTGTGCTTTATGTGTGAGTGCATGGGTGTGTTATGTATGTGAATGTGTGTGTGTGTTTGCCATTCTAACTCTTGTCCTATTTATCTGTCCTTTATCATTCTTTAATCTTTATCACTTGTCTGTTTGTCTGTTCTGGGAGAAAAATGAAGGAGGCCACGAGGATGTTGAAAATTCCTCAAGGGGGGAATGGAGTGAAAAGGTTGAGAACCACTGGTTTAGAACATACAAATGTGATAACCCAACTAGATTGTTATTTTTTTTTAGTTTACGGTACAAGCCCCGCCCCGTGCAGTTCATTGACTTATACCTAATGTTCGATTAAAATTCATATATTGAAAATATAACTGTTAAAGATACCCACTTCTGGCTCATTTTAATTAATGCTGAATTTAATGTATGTAAAGATATAGCTTCTTGTAAACATTAAGATGTGTGGAAAAAATTCAAGCTTTCGGAGGTGCTGGGCTTCTTTATCTAGTACCGTCAGGCTAAAAAAAATAAAATCCTATTAAAGTTCTGTTTGGGTGACCTTGAATGTAGGCTAGTGACGATGACAGTGTCAGTCACGGCTGCTACTTGCTTCTGCAACTTTACCGTAATACCTGATTTATATAGCATAAACTATCTTAGGCACCAATAATTTACCACCAAAGCGTCCCTAATTAAGATTAAAAATGTGCCAGGATGCAGGGATGGAGCAGTCACACACACACACACACACCAATACACATCAATTAATTTATGGCATGAAATTTTGACATATTTAACTGCTTATCATACTGTGAACGATACCTGGGTGAATGAACTTCAGAGATATGGTTCATGCTACACATCTATATCGGTAATGAATAGGTTGAAAGCACAAGTTATGACAATGTTAATGATGATGAATTATGGAACTGTGTGATGGAATACAAGTAGTCCAGTTCCAGAATACAATACATATTTTAAATTTGACTAAGTAAGGTATGAAAGGTGTGTTGCTGGAAATAATTATCCCAAGATGAGAAAAAAGGGTGGATGAAAAGATATTTTGGGAACGCCTGAAAAACTGTATAGTATTAAAAAAAATAATATGAGAGAGAGAGACAGTGGTTGGGTCTTGCTAAAAACAGATTTGGGTGACGGAAGAGGAGAGTATTTTGGATAAATGTCGTGTCCGGAATAAAGGAAAATAAGGAGAGACTAATATAAATATGAAGAGAAATGATTCATCACAGGGATTACAGTGCTGTACTATATGCAGTACTTTTAAAGAGTAGGAAATCCAATGAAGACGGTTGAATATTGTGAGACTATCTGCTGAGAGAGGAGAAAGATGAGAAACGTAAAGACTGTATTTGAATGGTAAAAAAACAAACTAACAATAGTCTGTTCATTCGACCTCTGCAAATGAGGCCTTGAGTCGTTTGTAACATGACAACCAATTGACTGACAGGAAAATACACAGTGGCACTCAACCGAACAGTAGTGTCTCATTTTATCCTGCTTATATTCTATAATTTTAAGGAATAATAAATATTCTGTGCCGATTTCTGATAATTTCCGAGTTTGGGAAAGTAAAAATCGGCATGTGAATCGCACTGGTAACATAAATATCATAAAGAGAACAAGAAAAATATTCCACAATTTCAGCGACATCTTCATTACACGGCGAGAGGGAGTTTACGTCGCTGAACTTGTTCATGTTCCCTTTAATAATTTTGTTTGCATTATTATTATTATTATTATTATTATTATTATTATTATTATTATTATCATTATTATTATTATTATTATTATTATTATTATTATTATTATTATTATTATTATTATTATTATTTATCATTATTATTAGTATTTACTATTATTTTTTTTAACTTTGTTGTGGTACAGCGAGGAGTTAACCACCCTCGGCATGAACTATGTTTTGTTTTGTTGGTATTTTTTTGTTGATGGCGGGTGTTTAATGAAAACAAAGCTTATTAAACATACCCATCACTCTGGCTCATTGGTTAGGCTTTTATGAACACTATTAAATAAAGATGAAATAGAAAAAAAAATCCCTCAAGGTTACATTAGTTTTGGTTATGTTAATCTGAGTCAGGTTTGGTTTGGTTTTGTGATGCTTAAACGAATTAGTTAGATTAGCTTAGGCTAGGTAACGCTAGGTTATGTTAGCTTAAGTCAGGATAGCCTGTGTTAGGCTGAACTTAAGTATGATTAAAAATATTATTAAAGGTTATCTAAAAAGGTTAAGATATTAGAAAGGGCACCTGATATGACAGTCTTGGCTCAAACGTCAATACTGCTTTGGTCGTCACCTTTATGGCATGTGTTATGAGACAAGACTCCTGCACCTTCAGTTAATAGGATAGAGGGAAGTTAACATATGCTACCTAAACTATTTTTTTATAACTCGTCCATAATTGTTACCACCTTTTATTACTGCGTGAGGGAAACTAAACACATGTTTTTTTTCTTTTAGTTATTACTGTTATAGTGTTTTTACATCTGTTCAACAACTATTACGTTGGAGATCAGATTATAAACAGACTCGGGTGAGGTGCTGTCAGCAGAAGAATCACTCACACACTAACACTTGTACATATTCATCAGCTTTCTGAGGTCGACGTCGCTCAGTTTAATGCGCTGTCCGATCTCTGCGTCTGGGTCCTGTGAGGTGAAGGTGAGGGAAATGTGAGGCAGGGCATAAGACCAAACCCCAACCTGAGCAACACTACACTAACCTACCCAACACGAAACTAGTATTATTCTATACAAACTATCCTATCGTAATTTCATCTAACTTCAGTCAACTAAGTAATGTAATTTAACTTGATGAAACCTTATTTACCGTAAAGAAACTTGGGTAGTGTTTGGCCATTAGTATTTTTTGTTTAAATCTAGGATAGGCTAATTTAGCTATCCGGCACAATCAAAACAACCCACACTACACACTAATCTACGTCCTTCAGATTACAGCTACCCAGTGACGTAATTACCTTCGTGACAATGGTCTTCTCGCCGTTTTCAGAGAAGGCGTGGGCCGAGTAGTGCATCACGGAGCCGTAGTCGTAGTTCTCACCGAAGCCACTCACCACGTCGGCTGAGTACTTGTTGAAGTTATGCTCATGACCTTAGACGTGCAGAGACACATAATGAGAGAACATTGTGCAGTAAAAAGAATGAATATATTAATGTAAAACTGAGTGAATATTGCTTTGTGCTATAAAAGCAAAGGGAATTTTGCACCGTGAAACATAGTAAACACGACAATAGATTGCTTGTTTCTTACATGAACTCTTTGAGGATGAAAGTTTAAGCTGTTAAGTTAAATCATCATTCTCAGAAGGTTTAATCGTTAAAGAAAATGGTTTTACCTAACCAACACACCAAGAGAAAGAAAGACAAGTTATAATTTACCACTCTCGATGTTGTCCCACATGATGGTGACGTAGTCGTCTCTGTCAGTGCGGGACTGTTCGTGGTGGAAACCAAGGGCGTGATACATCTCGTGCAGGATGGACCCGTGCTTCTTCAAGCACCAGTCTGGGTAGTTAATCTCCTGACTGCCACCCACTTTCCCCACCTTGCTGTGACAACCGTGGTCGTTGCTGGGGATATAGACATTTTTTTCACTCAGACTGATGTTGGCTCGTTCTTAGAAATTAAGATTTTGTTTTTGTATATATTCACTGAAGGAAAACAGAGCAAGGTAAAGAATTTTCCTTGTTATATGTCCCCTTAATTCTACCAAACACGCCCAGGAAAGGATGGGTGTACACTTACTCCTGGGTGAAGTACACGTAGTCCTTCTCGTCAGTCCTCTCCACGAAGGTGATACAGCCATTCGTTAGGTCCTTGTATTCGTCCATCGCGGCACGCACAATGTCCCTCTTTTCTTCAGCTGATCAGTTATTCAATGAGCCACCACCCATGTAGGAGTGTATTGTAACATTAGTTAACACGTTACTACGAGTAGTGTCTCTCCCTTCTAAGACTGAGCACGTAGAGATATGGGGATATGAGCTAAACTACTCGATAGTGTAATGGCACGACTTTCATGTCTCATCGGATATTGTCACAAAAGATATACTGAATTTATTTGGTAAATTGGAAGATGGGAAAAAATCGAAAAGAAAAGCTATACTCACCGAAATGTGAGGAAAACTTGTAATGGACGATGCCGTTATCCCAGCGATACTTCTCATCAATTAGTCCGTTCTTAAGGATGCCTGGCAGCGGCCCCTCTATGTCCCCCTCAAAGTAGTCACCCAGCTCATCAGGGTTGACGAGTGATGCGGGAGTCCATTCCTTCCCAGTCCCTGACCACGACACATTTGACTTAATATACTGAGTGAAATATTAATTTAAAATATGGCTCTTTTGTGGATCGAACACTACTCAATCAACAACGAAACTTTGGATATTTGTTTCTTTATTAGTCTGAACATGACTTGGGAAAATTAATAACTAGTACAACTTACATCACTAGTTCCAGGCGACTCAGAGCACTACATAAACAAACGACTCTCCAGGGAGGCGTTAAAGAGGTTTACCAATGGTTAAGTGACATTGGCAAATACATATAAGTTGAGTTAGAGACTCACTGGGGATGAATTTGTTAGGGGCGGCGACAGCGAGGCCGACCAGAGCCAAGATACAGACGAACTTCATGGTGGCAGTAACAGTGATGCTGCACCACAACTTACTGCCTAATATACCCTCCTCCACCCCTTCACTAGTCACCTACTGTCACAACATCAAACATTCTCACACTTCATCCACAACTGTAGCATTGTATAAGACAGGCAGTGTCCTCACAGCCGACCATGAAATTCTCATAAACCTCTATATATTAACGTGCCCTTTTTAAGTTAATTTTAGTAATATATATATATATATATATATATATATATATATATATATATATATATATATATATATATATATATATATATATATATATATATAAATATATATAGATATATTCTATTTATAGATAGATATATAGAAAATATTTATATATATTACTAAAATTGATTTAAAAATTCACGTTAAAGTAGAGAGGTTCGTGAGTTTTCGTAGTCGGTTGTAGTGTGAGGAACTCTTGCACACCTGTCTGTCCCACATACAGTATCAGTGTTTTCTATTTTTATTGCCTCTTTTTCAATACCGGTTGTTAGTTTGACTGTGAGAATGTTCCACCTTACTCCCATGACCACCTTACACAGGTGACCACCTTACTCCCGTGACCACCTTACTCCCGTGACCACCTTACTCCCGTGACCACCTTACTCCCTTGACCACCTTACTCCCTGTGACCACCTTATCCCTGTGACCACCTACTCCTGTGACCACCTTACTCCCCGTGACCACCTTACTCATGACCACCTTACTCCTGTGACCAATTCTATCCTGTGACCACCTTACTCCCGTGACCACCTTACTCCTGTGACCACCTTACTCCCAGGACCACCTTACTCCCATGACCTGACCACCTTACTCCCATGACCACCTTACACAGGTGACCACCTTACTCCCGTGACCACCTTACTCCCGTGACCACCTTACTCCATGGAACGGTCTACCAATAAAGTAAATAAGAACGACCAGGGCCTAAACACCTTTGGTACTTCAATTTTCTCGTCTATTTGTGTCACCAGAAGCTAAGAGCGTTTTGTTCAAAGGTTGATTTGTCTCAAAGGAAGATGCAATTGAATAGGAAAAAGACTCGTATATGAAATATGGTTTAATTACAATGAAAACCCAAGTATAGAGGACCAATATAACACGGAGTTTTATTTATCAATTTACCAGTCATCAGCTTACTAACCGTTCAGAACGCAATATGTACAGTCAATAAAAAAAAATCTGCACCTTTACGGTGTTATAAAATATGACACACCGGACCAAGAATTCTCAACACTCATGAGTTATGCATTCCTGTTAATTTCTCTGTATCAACTGTACGTGATAGACGGAATATATCGTATTGGTTACACAAGGCATTACACAAGCAGAAGTACCAACCTCAGTCAGAGATCGTTGCGAAGACTGTCTCACACACAGGAGTACATAAAATTTTGTTGTTGACTGCAAAACGGTATATACAATCAATAAATCCTTATGAAATCGTATTTACTAACTTAAATAATTCTAAAGTATGCGTTCGGTATGGCTACGAAACTATTAGTCTGGGAACACTGGACTATTTTGTTGTCGGGGGGGGGGGTGAAGGTGGGGCCATCACTTGTGGTGGAGTCGTGGTGACGAAAACAGTGTGTGCAAGCTACGAGACATTTTTAGTGGTAAATAAGGCCAGCTGTGGGATTGATTTTGCCGCTTGCAGCGGCTACTTTATTGTGCACCCCACACTCATCCTGTGAGCGGTAGCGCAAAAGGATTACAGAGTAGGGTTTACAAAGGGTCATAATAATTAACCCCCGTTGTCAGGATATTATGGCACTGAAAGTTACACAGTATTTCATTTACATTATTTGTTTAGTTCTATACATAAAGGGTAACTTATTCACAAATGCGTGAGTACAGGCGTGTGAGGCAGTATGTCTGGCCTCACACTTTGTTATTCACATTTACGTGAGAGGTATTCAAGCACATTGCGTATTTGGTTCTGTACATGAGAATTGATATAGTTACTAAGTGCAAAAAAGTGGATACAGTCTTAATATGTCGGCTATCTTGCCATTAGAGATGAAGTGTTGTGCCATTTCACACACAGTGTGCTTGGACCTGTCCCTAAAAGGTTCTACCTTCACACAGTCGAGGACGTAGTGTTCAAGTGTGTGGCCATATGTATGGCCACACACATTACATTTAGTTTTGTTTACATCTGCTTGAGGAACATACTGCCAAAGGTACTTATATCCTAACCTTAATCTAGCGGTTACAACATCTTGTGATCTAGTGATCTTGTTACTTGCTCCATATACATGTTTCACTTGATACATCTCATCATGGTAACCTATGGATCGACTAGTGCCTGTTTGCACTTGTCTACTTGCGTCAAACTCATCAATAAGTTCTTTCCTAATTACAGTTTTAAGGGTTCTTTTTGACAGACCCAAATTGTATTCAACGGTGTCTTTGTTAGACGCGAGTTTGGCGAGGGCATCAACTCTGTCATGTTTTATGAGGCCTATGTGAGAGGGGATCCACAACAGTTTGACCCTGACACCCCGGTCAACAAGGCACGCATATTTGTGTCTGGCTTCAGAGACAAGAGCGTGACAACCTGAGTCGAGGGTGCCAAGGGCAAGTAGTGAGGATAGAGAGTCAGTGATGATGAGACTGTCAGTAACAGTGGTTTCAATGAATTTAATAGCTGTGAGTATGGCAACTAATTCAGTTTGTAGAGTGGATGCCCAGTTGTTAATTCTAACTCCTTTCTCAATTATATTACTGTCAGGTTGAGTCACAACAATAGCACTTCCAGCCCTCCCACAGGCGGTGTTTAGAGATCCATCAGTGTAGATGGTCTGTGTGATATTATCATCAGTCTGTAGAGTGTGTATGTGTTCAAGAGCTCTCAATTTGGCAGTGTGTTGGAGATAAATGCTTTGTATAATTAATTTTTTAGGCGGATACGTCGGTATTGTGATATCGAGGGAACTGTCCGCCAGGGTGGCAAGGAAAGCGCTGTTGTGTCAACTTTTGTACAGGTGGTCTAGTCCAAACATCTTCATATGTGTAGCTGTAGTTTGGATCCATTTAGACTCAGTAGTCCCATGGTTCATACATTCTAGCAATTTTAAGGAAACAATGTCATCAGGATCACCACGCAGAAGCCTCAGGGCTATCATGAGGTTGACTTCAATTATTCTATCTTTAACACTGGGTATACCTAGTTCTTTCCTCATATTAAGTACTTTAGTGCTCATGGGACATCCTAGGATAATTCTGAGGGCTTGATTTTATGGCGGGGGTCTAGACAAATGTATTGGCTTTAATCTATCATACACAACTCATAGCTCTGATGTTGTCACTGATCTTATGTCTGGCCACAGCCCAATCCAAGCTAGTATACATGTAGCCAATGACACCCCCACTGGTGGTAAACTCAACAGACGTAGAATCACAGTCAAGTAAGAACATGAAAGCCAGTTCATAGACTTAATCCATGACTGGTACAAGGACTACAAGCCTGACAACTACCAAAGTTTCCATGACGATCTGATAGATAGGACTTATGTATACTTCACCAACAATGCCTCCACCAAAAAAAGGAGAAAACGTGGTCAGCATAATGGGAACAGGCAACAGCTGTGGGAGACGTTCACTAAGGGTACATTATCGTCGCTCTCCATAAAAACACCTGAAAGACCCATCCTGTTCACCTCACTGATAAAGTTCCGCTTCTGGGTATTACCTACTTAATACTTTCTTTCTAGTTATGACATTGTATTATTTAAAGTAGGTATTTACATAACAACAGCACAAGAATACATCTGGAATTTTTTTCTCATTACTGAGAAAATTTTACTCTTGGGTATTACAGTAGTTACTAAAGATTCCCACTTATCATTACTCCTAAATCTTTCTCACAGTCGGATTACTTTATAACAACGTAGTTCATCTGATATCTGGCTTCTCTGTTTACATCTCCTAGGCTAAGTACTTTACATTTTTCCCACATTGAATTTAATTTTGCGGAGTCCACGTCAGCTTTAATTACACGCCTTATTTTGTGTCGTCAGTAAATTTACTTATGTTGCTGTCTACACCTATATCTACTGTATGTCGTTTATGTATATAGTAAATAGTAATGACCATGTACTAAGCCTTGGGGTATTCCACTAGTGATGTTACCCCAATCGGAATTAGTGCCGTTAATGCTTACTCGCTGTTTCCTGTCCTGTAACCACGCCCTAATCCAATTTAGAATATTTCCTCCAATGCCATGAGCCTCCACTTTACGTAATAGTCTTTAGTGGGAAACTCTGTCGAAAGCTTTGCTACTGTCTAGATAAACCACATCATAATCGTGCCCGTCGTCCACTGATTTGAAACAGTTGAAAAGAATGATATAGATTTGTCAGACATGAACACCCACTTGTGAATCCATGTTGGGAATCATTGATCAACTTGTGCTTCTCCCGGTGATTTCGAATTGAGTTTGAAATTATTGCTTCCATCAATTTGCTACAATTGGTGTTAAACTGATTGGACGGTAGTTAGAGGATAGTGATCTATCTCCCTTCTTGAAAATCGGTATCACATTCGCTATCCTCCAGGATTCTGGTACTACACCCGTTTCTAACGGCATGTTAAACAAGTTTGCTAAGGGCATACTAAGTTCTTCCCTGCATTCCTTTAATAACCTGACAAATATCACGTCGGGACCTGGCGACTTATTAGGTTTTCATTTATCTATTTGTTTACTAACATAGTTACTAGTCATTACTATCGCGTTTAATCTATTTCTTCACTATCTCTGTAATATAGTCGGTGCCTCGGGCATCATGTTTAAATTCTCGGTTGTGAAAACTGATGACAAATTTCTCAGATTATTGCTCATTTGTCCGTTATCAGTTAGCTCGCCGGTATCTTACTGTTTTGGTTCGATACATTTGGAAGAATCCCTTAGGGTTTGAATTCGCCTTCCTTGCCACCTTTCGTTCATTATTCCTCTTTGGTTTTCTTATCTCTGTCTTAGCTCTACTGGCCAATACTTTACAACAATCTCGGAGGTAAACGTCAC